GTGTTGGCATTCTCAAAAAGAATAAGTGTAGCTGATGGCAATTTTTATCTGAAGAGATTTGTGCATGTTAGCAATATACCATATCCTGTCAGCATAAGAAGAGCATATGGGCCCATTAACTCACCAAATCTGCCACTGTTCTGCAAATTTTTATTAAGCAAGCGAAGTCTTAATAGTCACTTATGTTATAGAATGCGTGTCAAATGCTATCAATAAGCAAGGGGATTGTTTTCCCCTAGTGAGAAGGCATTTCAAGTGTGTAAGAAGGCTTGACAAAAGAATAAAACACTTTAAGCAACCACCGTACTAATAAAAATGCATCCTACAGGGAGCCAACATATGAATGTATTATGTGCACTTTAATGTCTGCTGCTAACAAGTTTTCAGAGTGCCATCTTGATCATAGACTTTTTCCCTCCATATTTTCTTTCTCTGAATTCTAACAATGACTGGTTGAAATTAAGGGAAAAGAAAAATACAGTCTGTTATTGCTTTTAAAAAAAAGTGCTCTTGGCGGTTGGGCAGTTCTCCTTAGCTTCAAAGACTTAAGAATTAGAAACATGGGCCACCATGGCTGCTCAGTTCCCCACACAAGTCCTCCTGGTGAGTCAGAGGACACACCAAGAAATTATCAGACATCTAGACCAAGCAGTGCCCTCTTTATTAAGCACCTGTGGCAATCAAGCCAAATAGTGTCGACTGATTGTGTGTTGAATGCCAGGAAGCAGGAGGCTAGTGTAGAAATCCCATTAGCTAAATAATGATAGAGCAACTTCAAATGGGCCAGCTTCATGATAACTCTAAGCTTTTAGTATGCCTTTTAGTGAAAACAGTGGTTGTAATAAGAATGCCTAAGAACTACATCTTCATTCATATCTCTTCAATTACTAGAACATTCCTTTACTATACACAATAGCAAATAGTTGAGGTCATTGTGTAAAACTGAAGGTTACAAAAGAGAATGGGATGAACTCTAGAAATTTTATAAAGGAAGAAAAGTGAAACAATCTTCCATCGGAAGCAGAATGGAAAACCTCAAGGCTCTTCCTCCACCAGAACTCTTCCATGATGCTTTGGGTTCTTTGCTTTCTTGGAATAGGAGAACTTCCTCAGGAGAGGCACAACCAGTTTCCCATTTCTTATACAAGTCTTACATTAAAAGTATCCACCTGTCATGAATCATGTTCCTACCATTTCAGTCACTGCACTATCTCAATATAATGCATGGAAACAACTATGTTGAAGCACCAGTCCCGAGAGAGATAACTAACAGTCGTTCTAAGGTGATGGGGGTTATGAAGGAAGTTGGGTATTAATTATAATACTTGCCATTTAAAAAAAATTGGTGGTGTGTGTAATTTTACCTCATTTTCTCATTTGCCACTGTTATTTAAATTACTTCCCAGCACTAAGCATGTGCATAAAAGATGATTGTTCCAAATTTAACCTTTTAAATAAAATGTGTTCTATTAATTAAGTCATTACTGCGCCCTCTCTTTTTCATTATGTTTGTTCATTTGTCATTGGTCCTAAAGATAGGCATCTGTGCCAAGGAATATTTTGGAGAAAGACCCCTAATTTTTATGCCTATCACCCATTTGGATTTTCCACACTTTAAAAAATAGTTTATTTTAGTGTTCTAAAGAATTTCAGCTTGTCAGTTATTAAAATAATGATAAGTATTCCTCCTAGGGATAATAGACATTCAGCCCAAAAGTTAAAAAGTTCCTTATAAAACGTAATGTGACTAGGAAATTTACTTAGATTTTAAAATGCAATCCACAAAGACAGAAGTGTGGCAATATTGAAAGCTTTACCTTCCTTGAAATCCCATTTTTAGAATAGCCATTCATGGTAAGATCATTTACTCTACTGCATTTTCCATGCACATCTTCCAAAGCAAAATAAGTTACTGGGGAGGAGTGTCCGTAGTGGCTGTTTATCTTTCGGATAACACATGAAAGGCACCTGATGCCCTGCTAAGGAGTAATGTGTTCTCTCTTATTCTTTCTGTATTTCTTTATGATCCTGAGGAAGCATAATAGGTAGCACCATCAAGACCAAATTCATCCATCACCACTCTCAATGCTCCCACTTATCAAAAGCTAAGTATGGAGAATGTTTATCTGGATCTGTGCTGAGTGATTTTTCATATTTTTAAAATTTTTATCTCCCATAATTTCCTATGTGCTGCTTGTATCCCCATTCTTAACATGGGAAAAACTGGCAGCTTAGCTACATCTGTGTCGTTACCACCAGTCATGCCGTTCTGCCTTTCTGTTTAGTATCTCAAGAATGATGACCATAGCCAAGGTATTGCTAAGGTATTGTATGTGTTTACCATGTGATCTTCCAAGCATTTAGCATGTACTTACCTCTGTCATTTTCACCACAAATCTGTGGGGTGGCAACATTTCACTCACTTTATAGTAGTGGAACTGGTGTGAACAAAGTTAAAATGACTTTTAAGATACTTACTGAAATAACTCTAAAACTTTCAGTAATGGAGCAAAACTTGTCAAATGTCCAAGCCAGGCTCCTAACTCTCACAATGACTTTGCATGTTAAGTGAAAAGAAATAGTTTAGGTTGAATACATTTGAACTTTAAATGTCCAAACATGCTCATCAAAATTATAGCCAATGTCATTTATATTAGTCTGCAGAAATATTTTTTGACAGAATCTTGCTGTGTAGCGCAGGACAGCCTTACACTTGTCCAGATAATACTGTCTACATCTGCAAAGTTCTCGGATGACAAGCATGCACCCCATACCTAACCCAGATTTTTGTCTAATGTCATAAGTTCAAATAAGAAGATTGTTGATTTTCTAGCATATAATTGCTGAAATGGTGGTTTAATTTGGGTCATTGTTTGTTCTTAAAATTCCTCAGCTAGAAAATCTTCTGTGATGGCCACAGAGACAAAGGAACAGCTAAGACTGTCATTTAATCTCTGCTCTTTCAGCTGATGAGATGCAGACCACGAAGACTTGCAGATGTCGTATTTGTCTTCCTAAGTTGTTACGAAGGTTAAAATAATTAAACAATTGTAAAAATGCATAGGGTAGATCCTGTGTATTACAATAGGTCAGCAATACCAACTGCTGTTATTTTTAGTTATCAACATAGTTGATTTGCAGTAGTTTTCTACTTATACTGTAGATTTCACTATACATATTTTTAGGCACAAGAAAGGACTTGGCTACCAGTACCTGATAAGTACTGTTTGACTTACCATCCAACTCTAAAAGCAACCAAAAGTCTAACAAGATGCTAAGACATTTGAGAATAGGATAACCATAGACAAGCAGTGCTTTTAATTCCAATATAAAGAAACAGCCAGGAAAGGATGGCAGGGTATGGCTGATTATGTGTAGTGACTGAGTCAGTAACAGATGACTGATGTGGGCAGAGGGAAGAGTCAGGTTCCTTAGGAAAGATGGAGGTGGTCTTCCTGGTTTCAAGTTCCCCCTCAACTTGTTTCTAATCCTTGAGTACCAGAGGTTTACAGACCAGCATGGACATTAGTAAATGGTGAATGAAGGTACTGCAGTGGTTGGATACTCATATGGTTATACACAGAGCATTGTTTAGGAATACTAATGCCTATGTACGGGGACATTTGTTAGTGGCTTTCACATTCTGTCTTTTCCTGATGTCAGATTTTACAATAACTCTATGTATGTGACACAGTAGAAATCCTTTCTCTGTGTTTTCTAGTAGGACTTTTGTAGGATCCATATTATTTATTTCAAAATTTGTTAATATTCACCTGTGATGTCACTCAGTCCTAGAGTCATCTTTGAGGGATAGTTTTACTTAAAACTCATTTTAAAATTTAACTATTAGGCCATACATATTATGCCTTCTATGTTTTTAAGCTTTTTTCTAACCTGTGCTTTTCAAGAGTTTTGTTTTCCCATTGCTTGAGAAGTGTATAAATCTTGGCACAATTCTTCCATACTGTTGAGGTTTGACCTGTCATCATTTTTTTGTTGTTGTTTTTACGAGACAGGGTTTCTCTGTGTTGTTTCGGAGGCTGTCGGTCCAGCCCGGCCTCGAACTCACAGAGATCCGCCTGCCTCTGCCTCCCGAGTGCTGGGATTAAAGGCGTGCACCACCACCACCCAGCGACCTGTCATCATTTCTAAGTGAACCCCTACACCATGAAGCTTACCAGTGCAACTGTTGGGAGTGGACATCATTTTACTCTCTGTGTAAACTCCAAATGTTGTTTTCTTTCTATTTGGTATTGGTTTTCTAGGTCACAGAGATATGGGGGCAGGTTGTCTCTGAAGATATTGGGAAAAAATAGTAAGCTAGTTCTGTGCTTTACAAATTCCATGTGCGTTGATTTCCATGAATACCATATGGCATGCCTTTATTGCAAGGGACATCAATAGATTCCTCCATGTACCCTTTCTTCACAATCCCCAGGGAGCTGTCTAGACTGAAAGTGGGGGTGATCATGATTTTTACTATATTTGTTTTCCATCGTTGTAAGTTCATCCTTTGTGACCTAATGTCTACTTTGTTCAATGTTGTTATTACAGATTTTGTCATTTCTTCATAAAAGTTTTTGCTTTTTTTCTCTGTTTTGGCCAGATATAGAAGACTGGCCCTTGAGTCTTGAATATGTACACATGTATTGCTTTAATGCTAAAGGAACTGTATTATCTATTATATATCCCAAGGCCCTTGAATTTAGTTATTCTCTAACATACATCAAAGAAAGAACCCAGCTAAAAGAACTGCAAGTACTGAAAACTTTTTATAAGTGCTGCATTCATAGAAGGTATATTAAACAGAGCTCTTCATAGTTGACTATAAAAAGTCTATGGATAAAATTGAGGCACCTCAGGATAGGCTGGAAGAAAAAGAACCCTCAAATCTTCATCAGTAAAAGATTTAATTTGTTAAGAATCTATACTAATTTATGGTTTTAAAATGCCCAATTTATAGGAAGGTCTAATTCTCATCTCTTATTTCTTCTCCTCAGTGCCAGATGAAAGCAAAGCTCAGTCATTGGCTGATCGCAGATTGGGTAAGAAATTCCTTGTAACTGGCTTTTCTCTTCCTGGAAATCGCTGGCTGTGTGTTAGTAGCATTTGGACCCTGTTTCTAGGCACTAGCCAGGGAAAGGCTTTCTAATTAATACATGAGTTGTTTCTGTCTTCCACAAAGATGAATTATCGCTTGGCTGTGTGCATAATGGCATAATGCATGCTGACTCAAAATGTTGAAGAGAAGAGAGGAAAGGTTTCCAAAATAATCATCATAAACCAAAAACCTTAAACCTATATGCTAGATGAGCACTTTTAAGAAACAAAAACATTGAAAGGGAAAGCTAAGAAAGATTGTAAAATTTTCCTACATGACTTACAAGTTAAAATTGGGAGACAGAGTATATCAAAGTAAGATGTGGTCATTTCTCAGGAGGGCAAAATAGACATGTGTAATGTTGCCTGTCATCAGAAGGGACTGTGCCAGAGATGGCTATATTATCCCTCTTCTTCCTCCTGAATGAGTCCCCATGCTGTTCTCTAAGAAGCTGCCAGGTTCCTTAGAGTCTTCTAGAACTTACTCTACTCAAATGAGTGTCTTTGTGTATCAATTCCAAGCCTTCCCTTCTATTCCTAGTGACCTCCCTCCTCTTTGTCCTTGTAACTGGCTTTTTCTTTTCCTCTGTTCGCCCCTCAGTATCAGCCCTGTCTATTATTTAAAAACACATAAAGTTACTAAGACAGCAAATCGTGCAGTAATTCTCTACCTCTAGGGGTGCCTCATTTTGCAGAAAAATTCCCATTTGACTCATATGGATCACTCTACCAAGGGGCTACGGTCGGCATTCTTCCCATGATGAAACAAAGAATTCTTCCCCATCGCTGTTGTGCACCAATTACCTTTCCAGTAGGAAGTGGCATTGATGCCTCATTAACTTTGTCATGTCCGAGGGCAAGATTATGATATTTTTTCTTTTTGTCCTTCTTTAGATTTTTTTTAATGACTGAAGCAGGGAACAGCTGATTCACAACCCTTAGTTCCCCCCTTCCATTCTTCCCAATAAAGAGCCTAAGTAGTTAGATACTATGGACAAAAAACATTCTGTTTATGTGGTTATTAAAAATGCTTACAAACTAGGTTTTTGGAAATGGGAAAATAATAAGCTTTCTGGTTATTATTGGAATTCCAAAAATTCCAGTCTTATTTTCATCTTATTTAAAAAAATATCACCCTTTCCTAGTAATCAAAAGTGACTGTCACTCTTTTGAACTGAGAATATCATCTTAGTCTATTGCTATATTTTAGTTAAGTTTAAATGTTGGCTTTTATCTGATGTGATACAAATATTTATGAAGAACTACTCTACAAAACTGGAAATAATGACCTTACAGATTTTGAAAAATCAAAATTGGCAGGATTTCATAGCTGGCAGATAGATATCTTGTAAAATTCTGCCTGACAACTTCACCTCAGGTAGCAGATGGAAATAGTACCAGCAAGTTTTATACTATAAGAAATATAATGTTAAAATATACTAAATGACATATAGATTTGTTACTAATATGTAATCATTCCAACAATCGTTCTTCTTATACCTTGAGACCTTCTACATAGTCTCTGCATCAGAGAATTTACTGTTGAAAATCTGTTGAATCTATGTAAATGTGAAAAAAAAGTCAACTTTATCATACCTGGGCCTCTGATTCAATTTGAGGTCTGAGGCATCAACCACTTAAAGATTAAGGCAAGTAAGAAATTTGATAACTTTAGATAAAACATAACATAAAATGAAGAGGGCTAAAGAAACACCTATACTTATATACTGATATTTTACTGTGAACAAGTACATCCTATACAACATTAGAGACACTTGTGAAAAAATACAGAGCATCATTAGAGAAAATATGTGACTAAGTTTGTAAATAGATATGCTTCAAGAAGTACCCTCTACCAGTTTTTTTACATATATGCTTTGAAAATTAACCTTAAACATGATTTTCTCCAGACATTCATTTCTCAGATAAAAACTCAACTCCCATATGTATTCTGTATTCATGTAGAGCAGTGATTCTCAACCTGTGGATTGCAACACTCTGAGGCTTGAACAACCTTTTCACAGGGGTCACATACATATCAAATATCGTGCATATCAGATATTTACATTACAGTTCATAACAGTAGCAAAACTACAGTTATGAAGTATCAACAAAATAATTTTATGATTGGGTGCCACCACAACATGGGAAACTGTAATAAAGGGTTGCAACATTAGGAAGGTTGAGAATGACTGATGTAGAGGGATTTCTAATGGGATGTTGGTGATGGAGCTGGTGGTCATATAATAGCAACAAAGGCTTAAGGGTTCCTTTCATTCTGACAACTTCTTTCAGTCAAATTATTTACAAAATTTACAGCAAATAGATTATATAGCTAGATAGATAAGTGACAAAAGATAGATAGATAGATAGATAGATTGATAGATAGATAGATGATGGCCAGACAGACAGACAGATAAATAGATAGATAATAAATCTGCAGTGTCAAATTTTTATGGGTACTGTGCAGTCAAATTTTTATGGGCTATATTTTACCTTGTAAGGGACCAGGATCATACTTTTGGCAATATTCAAGCAATCTCTTGAAGTTTTCTTGAAATATGATTTTTTTCTTCCCCAAATCCTGTCTTTGGAATACTTAAGTAATAGATCAGCATCTTTTTGGATAAGAGTAGCCTTCTCCTTAATTCCAGAAATGTGGACTGTTTTAACATTATCCAAGACTATCAGGAAGTTAAAGTAAATTAAATTGTATATGCTGACTTAAGTCTCCCATCCATCTTATTTGGGAGATATTCAACGTTTAATAAATTCATTCAGTTGAGCTTTCTTCTGAGTCAGCTTCTTAGTGAGTAGAGAGCCATTGTATGCCAAGTTACATCTGTTGGTCTGGCTTGGGTGCATCCCAATTTTGTGACAAGATTTTTGGCACCTTTCCTTTGGCTTAGTCTTTAAGTGGTTAATGCCTCAAGTATAAAATTATATCAAAGGCCCAGGTAAGATAAAGCTTTCTATAATTTTTGGCTCAAAATGGATGGTAGCTCTTTTCACCTCTTCTGGAATCAACACACTATTCTTGAGATTCCCATAACAACTGTGTGAGTTTTGCCAAAGTGTGGGTGCATTCTAGCCCCTTCCCTCAGTGAGGGCGGTCATCTTGTGGGATCTTCTCCGTGTAAGGGAGGTCTTTATGTCTACAGCATGGTCAGACCCACTCAGAGATATTAGAGATAAAATACCCTTTGTCTAGCTCCTTTAATAAAACAGCACAAGTTTTAGTGAGCCTCGCAAAATATTTTAACATCTTTCCTAATCTACTAATTGAACAAAATTCATACCCTAGAAATGCAAGACAGAAAAATGTATTTAAACAAGAAAACTTTTTTTACCATTTTTTTATATTTTGAAATAAAGGTATTACTATAGCACTACTCTTCCAGTCCCTCCCCCTTTGCTTTCTCAAGTTCATGGCCCCATTTTCTTTAACTGTTTATGTGACTGAGTGTTTGTGTGTATGTGTGTGTGTGTGTGTTCCTAAAAACGTAATTGCAACCTGCTAAGTCTATATAATGGTACTTGTACATACATGTTTTTAGTGCTGGCCACTGGTGTTGGATAGTCAATTTGATGATGACTTCAGTATTCTGCAGGAACCTTAGAATCCAGAGAAAATAAAATCAACTTGGTACTCAATATTTAATTTTTTTGCTTTAATTTTGAACATACTTAGAATTATAAAGGATATCTGCGATACTTCTTCCTTCTTCCCTGTCTATATACTGAACCTCAACCAATAGTTCAGTGTTCCTCTTGTATTCAGTACGAAGAAGCTTATAAATTTTACTTTTTTTTCCTACTGTGTCATCTTCTTTTTCTGTTGTTTTGATTTACTGCTTGGCGCTGTTTTAATATGTATTGACTGTCTGCAGGGATCTTTGCTGACCCAGCTCTTTAAGATGATGCAGTACTGAGAAAGCCAGGGACTTCTTCTTTACGAGCTCTGACATATTAATTAGCAAAATGGACTAAAAAGCTTTCCGATTTCTGTTTTAATTTCTTATATTCTGAAATACCTGCCTATGTAGCTGTAAAACAGACAAGTCTGTGAAAGTAATGGTGGGCAGTAAGTGCAGCCCTTCTTTGAATCCAGCTTATCAATTAAGGAACACATGCTTATTAGCCTCAGAAGTGAACTTCTGCATAACAGGAGCCTTGCAGCCAACAAGTTTAGCTGATAACTGACACAGTTGATTGGTGTAGAAATTAAACTTCAGGGCATTTAAACTTATCTCCCAGCTGGTCACTATGGGCTTAGGGAATGAAACTAGATATTGTGCTTCAGGACAACTCATGTTTTCCTAGACTGTTCCTAACACCCTATGGTCCCAAGAATGAGAATATTGGAGAATATAAGTCCTTACATCCCATTTTATTGGGAATACATGACTGACACACATATCTGTATTCCTCTTTTGTAAATTCAGGTAACTGAAAAGGGAACACATATTTCAGACTGTGATAATCTCATGAAGATGAGCAACATCTAAATGTGATAATTTTGCCTTTGTTCCCCCTCATGAAATATGGAAGTCTGTATGCATATGAATTAGTGGGTGAAGTTGAGAGTTATAGGAAGGAGAAAGTATGCATGCATTGGTTATAAACTAATGATGTCCAGGATATGCGTTCTTGTCCCAAAGCTCAGAAGTTAATATGAAGTTATGACTTTGGTAGACATTCCATTCTGTTCTAAGTGCAATGTGTCTAATCTTCAAATATATTTTTTCAAGCATGACCTAAGAAGATTCTGGATCTTTGTAAAAGATTAGAGCTTTTAAGATGGCTATGTTGGTACATGCGTATGATCTCAGCAGTCTGGAAACTGCAGTTGGAAGAGTATGAGATCAGATGCGGTCTTGACTAGATTTAAGTTCCAGGCCAACCTGAGCTACATACTGAGATCTTGTTTCAAATAAAAACTAAC